TATTTTTATAAATCCTCTCAGCGTGAACGAAACCAGCGTCCACAAACCTGTGAGGAGATGTTCTGCTCATCTTCACAGGCTAGTTGTTTTCTTTCTCGGCTGCTGGTTGCTGGGGGGGTTGTGATTCTCTCCGTATCTCTTTAAAATAGAACAAAGTCGATGTGTTGGATTGATGACCTACTTGGCCTGGTCGTTATTTTTACTTTTTCCCTTCTTTACAATCTCTTGTGTGCTCTGCATCAGTGTCATGCAGGACTTTCTCTCTCCTTCTGAAATTCTGCAGTTGTTTTGCACTTCTGGAGCCTCATCATCACACTCCCACGTCTGTGCTTCACTGTCAGGATGATGCATTCACTGTCCTGGTTTACGCCAAACATGTTGGACTCCATCTGATCGGTACTGATCAGACTTCTGGTCATTTTATAACCATACCATGAGGTTTATTGGAAATCACAGGTGCACAGGTGTGTGGTGGTGATTACACGTGTATTTTTAATCTCCTGTATTTCTACAAATCTTTCACCTGTGTAATGTCAGAATCAGAAGCATCCTGTCTCAGAGTGATGCTGAACAACTAGTCCATGCATTTTGTAACTTCTAGGCTCCTATTATTATAAGTCCTTATTATCAGGATGTCCCAGTTATTCTCTTTAAAACCTGCAGCTGATGCAAAAGAAAACTGCAGCCAGTAAAAAAAAAGATTGCATTTTACATATTCTAATAGTTCATAATGAAAATGCTCTTCCCTGTCAACTTAGAAATATTGCAATTATTCGCTGGTAATACAGTCATTTTCAATCATTTGACATTTTGGTGATAATGCACATGGACATGGTGTCTTCTGTGTGACTTCAGCCACTCTCAAGTGCTTCCTTTTCAATGATGATTTGCAAAACCACATCACAGTGAGCCTGTAATTTTACCTGACAGCTGCGTTTTTGTTTTTTTTTCCTCCCGGTTCGACCGGGTCACGAGCAGACTGTAGATTTCCGCCGATTACAAAACAGATGTATTCTTCTCACGTTATCCTTTCATCACAACCATATAAAATAACCGTAACATATAATCACAGCGAAGCACGGGGTGTTACAGAGGCCATTTCATTTCCTCAGCTTCCCATTATCGTACAGTTCTCCATTCGATGGTTGTGTTAGCGTTAGAAAAAAACAAGCTGTGTACCTGCATAAACCATCCTGAGTGACAGGAGCCCAAGATGCAGCGAGTGCTGTGGACGCTTGTGCAGGTAATAAAGTAAATGTTCATTTACAGGAAGAAAATGGAGAACACGTGAAGGTTCTCCAGTTTTGTTTCAAATTTAATGCAAACTTTTTCATTAAAAAAATGATACCAGGGCTGCGAGGTTGAGTGGTGGTTAGCATCATTGCCTCACAGCTAGAAGGTTGTCGGTGAGGACACCCGGGATCTTCCTGCGTGGAGTCTCCATGTTCTCCCCGTGCAGCGTGGGTTCTCTCCGGGTTCTCCGGCTTCCTCCCACAGTCCAGAAACATGCTGAGGTTAATTGGTGATTGTAAATTGTCCGTAGGTGTGAATGTGAGTGTGCTTGGTTGTCTGTCTCTAAGTGTAGCCCTGTGATAGACTGGTTACCTGTCCAGGTGAACCTGCCTTCATCAGCTGGGATAGACTCCGCCCCCCATGACCCTGGTGAGGGTTAAGGTGTAGAGATGATGGATGGATGATTATACCAGCTTGATCATTTTAAGCAAAACTTTAATCTGAGAAAATGTCCGTGAGTTTTAGAACGTCCAGGTGTTTGTTTGCCTCCTTAATGACAGAATGGACTCCAACAGTTTGTTCAGACCTGATGATTCATGTTATCCCAGCAGGATGTGACAAATTCCAAAGAGCTTCTTGTCACCTTTGGTTTTGAAGTTGATGGAGAACAGTCAGCTGATCTTTCAGGGTGGAAAAGACGATGAACATTTTGGAAATATAATGTGGTGCCAGTGAATTTAAAAAGCAAACAAATCAAATCAGTCCATTATTTAGACTTTTTAATGCTGTATCCCTCCAATAAACCTTGATTTCTTTCCTTTAATGCATCCTTCCTCCACACATCGTTGATCATGATGCAAAAAAACTGCAGCTTTCATTACAGCGCCTTACACATCACTGCAATGTGATTCCACGGCGCTAATCACCACAACGATGACTCTACAAATCAGCTTAAATTGCCTTGCTGCACATTATCCACGGTGTAATGCTCTTACTGCCGAGTTTCACGTGCAACAGTAAATGTCACAAAGTAGAGGAAATCCAATTTTTTGGGGGGGATGAAGTGAATCTCAGGAGTACAAAGGATGCTCCAGTAATGTGGATTCTGATTCGGTGGTGCACAAGCGTGTCGCGCTCCAACCGCAGAAGATCCGTGTAGTCTGAGATGTGAGGGCAACACCATCGTACCTAAACACAAACCGTTGTTCACCTTCCTTTCTGACACATGCAGTCAGAAATTACATGGAGGTGCCCTGCCGCCTTCCATGTAAATGAAGGTCATTAGATTTTTTAGCAACTCTATTGCTCCTCCACACTCAAATCTCATTTGGCCATCGCTCACAGGCTTATCCCACTGTGAGGTAATTTCATTTGATCCCACCCAGCTCGGCACGGAGATCAATCTGACATAACCGGAGAAGGAGATTTCTACAAAGCGAGTGTGGGAGGTGGGAGAGAGATTTTTATTTATTTTTTTGGTTGAAATGAAAGAGTGGATAGATTGAAGACTAGTGGTGACATACTGAGGCTAGAAATGTAATAAAAGTGTGTGAGGGGGTGGGCTGGGGGTTTGGAGCGCTGAATCGGCCACTTCTGGGCGAGCTGCAGCTCCATAGCTGGCTGCATAGCTGGGGGCTTTTTTTAAACTTTCTCTCAGCTCCATTATTTCCATTAGTCCCCTGCATTTAGTTCCCTCTTCAAAGCCCTATAACTCGACACTTGGCATTTGCTAAACCTGGAGAAAATTAAATCCAGGAAGCAGCAGGCAGTCAAAGTGATTTTTAGTGGGGACTGTAGTTATATTCATTCTCCAAAGTGACTCCACTGTTCAGTGCCCTTACACTTGGTATTGCTAGAAAGAAAAAAGTGTGCTCAGGAATTTTTTTTTCTTCCAGAAAATCCTGAACTAGCACCTTTTCATGATGCAGGGTGTGCTGGGTGGTTCGTCACACAGCTGTCAAACCTGCCATGCTGCCACACTGTACAGGTCTTTTTCTGACCATGCAGAACCCTCAGTGTCAGTCACAGCACTGCAAGACCTGAAGGTGAAGCCCTGGAGAGAGAAAGGACGAGAGGAAAGAATAGGAAGGGAGTGAGGAACCATTTCACTTGCCAATTATGTTTCTCTGCTAATAAGGCATTAGTGCTAATACTGCAGTAATATGATCTGAGGACCTCAGGATGTCTTTCTGCTCCTTGCTGATAATGAGGTTCAGGCTTTTGCCTCACCTGTGGTCATGAGCTTTAAGCAGTAACCCAAAGGAATGAGAACATAGTGTGATGGTTCGTGGCCACCAGGTGTGTCGGTGCAGAACCCAAACAAAGAGGTGACGGAGAGTAAATTCACGAGGTGTGAATGTGAGTGTGCTTGGTTGTCTGTCTCTAAGTGTAGCCCTGTGATAGACTGGTTACCTGTCCAGGTGAACCTGTCTTCACCCTGAGTCAGCTGGGATAGGCTTCGCCCCCCATGACCCTAGTGAGGATGACGGTGTAGAGATAATGGATGGATGGATGAACTTGCACTATCACAAGCACCCATTCATCGACCCCATCTCCTCCCTGTTCATACTTGTAGCTCTATAACAGTTTCACCTGACGTCTCGTTACCACTGTCGGGATAACGAGGTTAACAAGCTCGCTCAAATGACCACCACGTCCTCTTTGGTGGTTTAGAATAGTCACATTAATGCACAAACAAATGACAAAAGCAAAGTTTCCAGACTTGTTTGGATATGCAAACAGGTGGTCTTACAAAATGTGTTTGGAAACTCAAATTAATTGTCACATGTGGGAGACTAGTGGGTGGAGAAGTGCTTAGGAAATGATGAAAATGGGGAAAAGGGGTAAAAACAAACACTGAGAAATGAGGGAAGGAACCAAGCTAAAGACAGAAGAGGGAAGCAAAGGAACGAGGGACATAAACAAACTGTCCTCCTCACAGGTCCTCCATCGCTTCACTTTGAAATGCAAACATTGCCGGAGAATGCATGAAGCAGCATCAGCAACTGGGGAAGTTTTGTGTCAACTGTTGGAAGCATTCTAGACGTCGGAGACTCTGAATGTTTTAAGTCTGACGGTCGTATTTTATTTTCTTAGCGTTGCTTTCGCCTCAGCTAACAGGGGAGCAGCCGGTCCGCTGGGCTTCAGCACAAACCTCATAATACAGACGCTTTGTTGCTCGTCTGCTCCGAGCCCGGCTCCTCTGGAGAGCCCAACGGTACCGAGATGGTACGGCTGAGATCTCAGTGCTGTTCTTGCCCTGAGTCAATAAGGAATTCCTTTTTACAGCGTCTTTGTGAAACTTTATGCTTCAGGCAGCCTCATGCAGCAGCAAAAACTCTTTATTTCAGTCGGGTGGATGTGACTCTGGGACAGAAGTGGAGAAAGTGAAGTGATGAAGTGGTGAGAAGGTTTCGGCCGAGTGTCCTCCTCTCTGTAAAAAGATGCTGACAAGAAGTGAGTGGAAGATGGAGAGGTCCAGAGAGAGACTTGAAGAACGCATCGTCCACGCTGTTATTGGACACAAGTGTGGATTTCTTTTCCTCCAAACATGAGCAGGATTATTTTCAGAGGAACTCCTGCTGATGGCTCCTCAGAGGAAGTCCTCGAGGGAAGCTGGAGTCTTCAGAAAGAGAAAGATCTGCCAGAGAGAGACTTTAATCTGCATGTTGACCTCAAACTGTATCACATTTCAGTGCTGCTCCAGATCCATGCATTTATTTTTATTATTTTTTTCTAATGTCTGCTGTTTTTTTGTTGAACTGCAGGTACAATGTGGACACCAGGAGCTCCAACCTCTCCAAACATGTAAGCCGCTTTTGAACACGTTAACATATTTCACAATGACATGTGGGTTCATGTGGAGATGAGTCACAAATGTACATGAATAAATAGCTTACTTACATCCAATCAGTTGATCAACCAAAACCAAACGTATTTTACTTTTCTCTTCATTGTACTTTCTTAGTTTTCCCATGTGGTCGTCTGCACATACGTTTAATCCTTCTTCTAGTCCCCAAGCAGCCCTTTTTCCTTCTTTATTTTTTATCTGCTTCAATCAGTGGATCAAACAAATGAAACCTCCTTTCTCTTCTTCCAGTCCTGATGTTCTACATCATCATTTATGCCTCATTTTCCCCCAAGCAATATGTTCAGTTCTCATCACCATGTTTTCAAATGCGTACGTGATGATGGACTATATGTGTGACTAGAGGATTGATTCAGGATGTGAGTGTGTTCCATTACCGATGACATCAAAAGATGTATTAGCGAGCTACCAAGCTGCAAGTGCTGTTAGTCACAAAGCTGCAGAACAACGGTGTAAATGATTCATACGTGATGTTTTACTGAAGGGACACAACAAACCCGAGTGACAGCAGCTCACAAACATACGAGGTGTTCCAGAGAAGTTCCAGGACTGGTGTCGCAAAACATATATTTCAAACCCAAACTACAAACTGTGGGTTTTCCTGATCAACCGGCACGTCTACAAAGAGATCTTGTGATGTTTGCTTCGTTCAGTGCACCAGAGGCGAGGGTTGTTACAGGACGAGTCGTGGCTGCTTCACCATGACAACACGCCTGTTCACAACGCCCTGAACATCCCACAGCTCCTGGCTGAGAAGAACATCTCCATGCTGGAGCAGCCTCCCTACTCACCCCACCTGGCTCTGTGGGATTTGTTCCTCTTCCCCAAGCTCAAGGGCTCATCAAGGAGACTCGTTTAGAAGACGTGGACCACATCAAGATGGCTGTGACGATGGAGCTGCGAAGGATCCTGGAAGAATCCCTCCAGGAGTGCATGGCGGCGTGAAGAGAAGGCTGGAGGAGGGTGTTAGACTCCAGGGCTTTACTACGAAGGGGAAAACTTGTAGTTTGTATTTGAAATCTATCTTTTGTGACACCAGTCCTGGAACTTTTGTGAAACACCTCGTACAGTGCAGGTCCATACACACCTCGTACAGTGCAGGTCCATACACACCTCGACCCAGAAGTAAAGCAGATTAAGCGGCAATAAGATTATGTTACCTGTGATGTTTTCATTGTATCAAACACACAAGACTGGTCAGATTAAAAAAATCCATCCATTTAACATTTAGATCTGCTTTGGAGAGGGTTGAAGCCCATCCTACCTGGTGAGATGGTTGCCAGTTTGTTACAGGACTAACAGATAACTAACACATAACCAGACACCACTGATCCTTTCATGCATGTATTTGAATGTAAGAGGAATCCTGTGCTGGCCCTCAGTTATAGACAAGACATGACTTCTTGAAGACTTCTCTGTGTGGACTGTCTTCTGTCTAGTGTTACACAAAGTCCACCTGTCGTAGAGTGACACCTGCCCAGCCCAGATTTATCAGAGTAGTCGTCAGTGATCACAGTCACACTGCACTGGTCCACTATTTCACAATGAACATCTTCCAGTATTATCTTTGTGGGACTGAAGCAGTTTTAGTTTTGGACAAACTAAATACTTTTTGAAGGTGTGACACCTGTTTCCTTGTTCGTTTGGATCAGTGGTTTGTTTTATAGCCTTCCCGCCGTCCAAAGACACTCAGGTTAGATAAAGAGACGACTCTCGCTCGTCTGTAATGTGTGAATGTGAGTCTGATGTCTGATGCTGGGATCGACTCCAGTCTTCCTGCAGCCTCCCCGGGATGAGCAGATAGAGCTGATGGATGGATGGATAATTTCAAATCAGAAAAAAAAGCTGCAGCAATACTTACAATGTAGAAAATTCAATCAAGAGTATAATTTGGGTTTTATTTTATTTACATCACACAGCGGTTGATCAAAGTGATGATGATCCTCCTGCAGCCTCTGCATTAGTAATGTGTGCTCTGACATCAACTTGAGGTGTCGTCGTTGTGTTTTCTAGCTTCTCCTCTAACTTGTCTCTGCCTTTCCTCACCGCCTTCCTACATGGACGAGCAGAAGGTAAGACAACCTTCTCCTCATTCTCCCGTCTATCTGCTGGACATTTTTCCATCTAAGATCTTAAACATAGAGACTTCTGACTGGGTTTCTGTGACTGATCCGTAGCTGGATTTTGATATGAATGAAGGAAGTCACACTGGACAGACAAGAGACCATCTGGGCTGCATTGTGAGACTGCTTCTCTCATCTCAACATCCCATAATAGAAAGTCTTTTTCCTTGGTCACCTGTTCATTTCAGTGGATTCCAGCTCTCCTGCACACTTACGTCTGGTGCATTAGTGGAGTAACTGTGCTTTTTGACGGGTTTTCGGTGATACATTTTGATTAGCAATACATTATAGAAAGTCATCTGAAACATTGATGGCTTCAGAGGTAAAAGGTGGCGCGTCGATAGAAACACAATGTGATGTGACGGCGCCATGAGATCGGACTTGGTGGATAAATGATGAGGTACATGAAGCATGTGACTTAAATGTCAAGTGAAGATGCTTTAATGTGGCTCGGAGCCCTTTTAAGATGCCGTGGCCTCTTATTCCGGACCCATCTACACCTGGCATTAAAGTGTGATCTGTCTGCATACATCATCTACATGCTGACATCCCATCAGCAGGTCTTTGCATTTATATCTGGTATTAAAATGCATTTGTGCTGTCAGGATTGTGCCGGAATCCGATCCAATATCAATATGTAAATTAGTTAGATTGGACTTGCTGACGTGTCCCAGTATGTAGCGTGATGTCCCAAACAACCCTTCAGTACCACAGAGCTGATTCAGTCCAACACACGTCTGGATCCCTGTGGATTCGACGTGCGTTTACACATTGCAGTGACGTGCGCTTTCCCTAATCTGGATAAGTTTGGATTTAGATTGTGTGCTGATACCAAGTGTAAATGGAGAATTAATAACAACACTGGATGTATTTACATTTTCCTTTTCAGATTTTCTGGAAATGTTCTTGGTTTCCATCCAAACATAGAGGAACAACATGTTAACAGACTTTCAGGGAAAATCTATTAAAGAAAACAAGGAATGATGTTTGTAGGTGAATAAACGATTGCAGAAGAACAAAGCACAACGAGTTGATCTAATTACAAGAGGCAGTCCTGCAAAAAAGAATGCAGAAAACATGATAGATGAGGTTTTTTTTAGTCTAAATCTTAGTTTCAGTTTTGACTCCGAGGTTTTCTCATCCCTCCACACGGATCTGATCTTTGAAGTTTCTGCTTTTATGCTTGAGGTTGTTTTTTTTTTACTCACCAATTGAAAATGCTCATAAAAACAGACGGGTTTCGAAGCAGCTCGTAAGTCGTGAGGCGAAGTAATGAAAAGATTTAGCTGCAAATAAAATACCACAAAATGTTTTGGGGGGGATCAATAGTGGCTTAAAGCTCATGAAGGCTTTATTAGCAGCAGCAGCTTGACCCGTGCTGTATTCATGATGCTGGTTTCTTCTACTCTGTGAAGGACTTCCTGGGTCAGATGTTCTGCACGCTGGGAGAGATCATCGGCTCAGCTGGTGCCAGACTGGAGAGGACGCTGTCGTGAGTACAATATGCTGCTCAGATATCAGAGATGCACTGAAGGGTCCTCGATGAAGCTTCTGTTGGATCCTAACATCAGGACCTTGTTCATGGTGCCCCACAAACTCATGTCATTATTATATGCTATTATAGTTAGTATTAATTATTTTAATTAGGCAGGGTATGAAATCTATGTTGTAAATGCTCCAGAGATTAAATCAGCACTTGTAGAAAATGTTCTTCTATCCATTGACGTAGCAGAACTGCTTTCCTACACGGTGCAATTTGTGATCACACTCATCAATACTCTTCTGTTATCCACACTGACACTGTGACATTACAGATCTGTCAGGGAGGATTGTGGGAAAAAAATCATCAGAATGGAAGTCTGACTTAAAACGTGGTTATGAGATCAGTCATTACATTTGTTAGCTGAGAGTGAACACGGCAGATCCAAACATCTGTGGATGCTTCTTTTCTTTACACTTTGCCTGCTCGCTGTAGATTTTTTATTCATTAACCACTGAGTCACTGTTTTAAATCTATGATGTTTGGTGAAATCTGAAAATGCTGTCAGCGGCTGTTTGATGGTTATATTCACTGGAGAACTCATGTAAATGTGTAAATCCTGTGCCTGTTGATTAGAGGCGGTTTCTTTGTCGTGTGAATCACACTGTTGTGTTTTTAGTATTCTGAATGACATTCAGCAGGTCGTGTAGCTTCTACCTGTTGTTCATCTGCAGATGTTTGTGATGTCAATCATATTTCAAACACATGGAGTCACTTCTAACCAGTCTGATGTCAGGTCCAAATCTTAGTCCTTGTGTTTCCAGTTATGACATTACTTATGTATGAAGTCGTGTCCCTGTGCAGGTCTGACAAGTCCTAAGTCAAGTCCAGGTTTAGCAGGTTTAAAGGTCCTGATGATGTCCCAGGTCAAGATTCAGACTTAAAAAAATCAAGCTCTCTGTTTCAATCTGTTTAAATCACCTATTACACAAATAGACGAAGTGCATTTACCATAGAAACGTTTGAAAAAGGTGGACTTGGTTGTGACAGAGTTGCATTATGGGAAGTGTAGGATTCTGTGTTTTTAGTGCTTTATGGATGATAGGAACTAAAAGTCAGCCTTAGTCGCTCCTGATTTACACGATTCTGTACAATATTAGTCTCTCAGCCTGATGGAAGCACGATACTGAACCTTTGAGTCCTTTGTTCTTTTATACATTCACATTTCTATCTAAACACGTTCAGAAACATGACGCATGACTTTGTACTTTGGGAATTATTTTCCCACCAACAGCATTTAGACAGAATGACTCCACGGCAACACAAACGTTCTGACATCACGGCGGTTTTGTTCAGATGGTATCATCTTACGTAAAGAAGTCTTTGAAGCTGGCTTTTTGTGGTGAGCTTGCGAGCTAATGAAGTGCTGCACTGTACAGTTCATAACATAAGATCTATTGAAACCCGAGTGCTTCCTCTGCTTCTCAGGTCAGATGTAGCTCAGATTGGACACACAGAGATTGAAGTGATGTTGACTTTAGTATAGACGACTGTCGATTGCTTCAGCTTTGACTTCACAAAGCTCTCCACTCACATCAATATCTACACAATGTCAGTGTTTACTGGCTCAGACTTATTGCAGCTGATCGCATACATGCTGACAGGATTTAGAAAAAAGGATCTCTTAAGTTTTGGTTGGGCTGTCTGACTGCCTCGCTCGTGGCTTCGTCTCAGGCTGGTAGTGATGAGAATAAAATGCTGATTCTGGAGTCTGATGATGCTGTTTGCTAGAACCTGCACCTTCAATCCATCACCTCCTTTAGCAATCAGGAGGACAAAAGCCTACCAGAGGAACAGGAGAATGTACAGGCAGCTTCCACCTTCCTCAGATATCAATAACATGTCCTTCAGAGAGCTTTTCCCTTCAGATGGATCTGCACATCTGGTGGTTGTACTGAGAAGCTCCCAGGTGAATGTAATCTGCATACTGGGGCTACTGGGTACAGTAGCTGGAAATCGAAGGCTAAAAGCATTTTGTTTTGCATTTTGAAGCAACACGTGGCATCGCTGTTAGAATACAGAAAACCTGATCTGGTTCTGATGAGAGCGAACATCGTCTGTCTGCCTTTGATCGATCCATCATCACCACCTCGGCAGCTGACAGCAGATCCGATGAAGAAGCAGCTTTTCTTCTTCTTCTTCTCGCCAACCTCTGAGTGAGCGCAGGAGTGAGCAGCGTGTTCGCCCGAGGCTGACAGCAAGAAACCAGATGAAGCTACGATTTTACCGGCCTTTTGTTTATGTGTTTTGAGAGCCTGGAGAGCTTCCACATGTCCTGCCTATAATTAGACGGTCATGGTGACGGGCTGAGCTGCAACATGTTGATGTTTCTGAGTGTTTCACAAAAGAGAAAAGAATCAGGTGTGATAGTGTGACTCCCGTACTGTGTGTGTGTGTCGGATATTAATAAAAATTGATTGGTAAACCTCCCATTGAAATGGAAACATAAACAACCCAACAGTGAAAGGAGGATTTCTCTACAGGGGCATAAAGCACACATCTATTAATCAGCCACCTATAAATCACGTTCCCAGTTTGAGCCCTTCCTGTATTTGTCAGCGCCGATCGGGCTGCTGCTCCCGCGCTGTCATTTATCTTTGTTGAAGTCTGCAGGAGCGTTTCCTAATGCAGACAGCTTGTCAATGAGACGGAGAGGCTCTGATGCCCTTGGATGCCAGCGCTGTGCTACACAAACTTTGGCGTCTGTGTGGTTTTGAGGTGTTGGCTGTGTGTCCCATCAAGTGAAGCTACACAAAGGACGTGGGTTGTGTTGCCGAGAGGTGAAGTGAGAGGGGCTATTGATTCCTGCAACCTAGATGGAAGTCACACTCCCTCTGTAAAAAAACCCCAAAAACCAGATGTATAAAAGCTAGAACACTGTTCACGTGATGGACGGAGACACACAGGAGTCGGATGTGTTCACCGCCACAGCCTGAAGACTTCACAGTAACAGTATGACAGAATAAAATGCCAAGTTTAAAGGTAACAGTCTGACATTTTGGTAAAAAAAACCCTCTTTGCTATCTTAGTTGAGTTAGATAAGAAGAATCTAATCTATTTTATCTTTGTGTGTCCAGGTCAGGGTGTGTTTAGCTTAAATACCCAAAGCCATCTTATTTAAATGCCACAACATCAACCGACTCGTCCTGAGTTGGACTTGAAATTCCAAATAACAGAAAGACTGTGCTTTTATAAACTGTGTGGCATAAAAAAAGCTTTTTTGCAAGGATGACATATCTCATGATTAAAACTAAAATGATGCAGGATGTTCATCGTAAAATTATAGAATAACTGGAAAGTTAGTGTAAGAAACAGGCAGCAGGCTTGTGGGCGACAGAAACAGAATCACAGGTAAATATTATATATTTACATTTTAACCTTCCTCATAGTGCTTAATACAGGATATGTAAAGTGTACAATCAATAAAGAAATACCTGGTTTGTTTGCATTTCTTTAAACCAATCACAGGTGGAGTGAAGCAAAGGAAACAACTTCACCTCAAAGTACTGATGAATTGAGAGAGAAAACGTATAAATCAAAGCAGGAAACAGGAAGCAGCGCCGCCTGATTGAAATCCTCAGCAAAACCTGAAACTGTCTGAGTGGTAGGTTGCTGCTCAAAAGCTGTTGTTGTTGATGTTTACCAGACAACGTAAGGAAGGACAAAGCCGACTGAAATGATTGCTAGCTTATAGCTGAACCCTGCATCTGGTGGACAGGCTGCAGCTGTAGTGGTTCATCTGGTACGTGAGGGTTTAAAGCAGGATGACATGAAGGAATGGGAGCCAGGATTCTGACATTGTTTAGAGTCAGTGCTTTGTTAGTATTTAAAAAAAGATTGGATTCATGTTTTATTTTCATCAGCTGCTCAGTTATTCTCTCCCTGTTTGATGGTACGTTTAATAAAACTACCAGCAGTGGACGTCTGTAGAGCTTCAGCAGACATTTAACTCTACAGATGTGTGAAAATGACCACAAAGGGGGCAAACAGATGCTGATGTTTGCAGATAAACTTGCTGGTGGATTTCTTCTCTGTGGGGAGCAGGACGACCATGTTCATACGTCACTAATTTTGCAATGAATTATGGGTAAGACCTTCAGGAAAGTATCCCAAAAAAGGTGCATGATCGTGGGGAAGATTCTGCATCAGAGCTCTTATTCACTTGTTCTAGTAGTTTAATTGTAGAAACTGGACCTGCTTGAGTTCCTTGAAGACGTTCCACCTTCATCCAGGAGGCTCCATCAGCTCTGACTGACTAGTTGGGAGTTCCACATCCTGAGATCCTGAAGGAGACGTTAACACTGAGTTTGGGTTTCAATCAGGCATTTGTTGCTCCTCCTCCTTATTCACTTGCCAATCTGACAGTAAACAGTCCAGAGAGCTTCATTCACTCAGCAGGAATTAATGTCCCGATTGGGTTTGGGCCATTGATATGAAGGTCATTGATTCCAGCTGTACTGACCCAATCCCAGGGCTAGGGTTACACTGACAGACTCATGGACTTTGAGACAAGTTCCCACCAAGTGCATGAAGACTTAAAGCTCTCATAGTTAATGACAAACCTCCTCCAGCAGGACGATGTGACCAACCACACCATCAAAGATCCCAAATCATAGTTAAATCAAGTGTCCGTGGGATGACTGGTCCAAAGCTTTCTGCTCTGCTGGTAGTCAGATGTGCTGTATGCTGTCTTGCCCAGAGACACTTCAGCATGTGGAGGGGCCGGGGATTGAACCACCAATCCTACAGTTAGTGAACAACCTGCTTTACCACCGGAGCCCTTATTATGGAGGCACCTTGCTGCAGCTTAGTGTTGATGGAGAACATGAACACACCAACATCTACACAACACGAGTGTTTACAGGCTTCCAGCCCGTTGATTTCACACAAACTGACAGAAATGATGAGCAGAGGGCTGAAAAACACACATAGAAGCAAGAATTAGAAATGTA